GGAGGCCTCTTGGAGGCTTCTTGCGGCGACTGCGGGCCCTCTTGGATCGTCTTCGGGGCTTCTTGGGGCCCTCTAGGCCCGTGTTGGGGCCCTCTTGGGCCTGAAAAGTCACGAGAGAAGATACGCTGGACCCCAGGAAACACGCGAGAAGCCCTGGTAGATTTGGCAATGGGGTTCCAGGTCCCGAAGAGACTTCTCAGGAGTAAGGATTAGGCTCAGGAGATTAGGTAGAAAGGGCCTGAGACAACGCCAGCCACCGTGCCCAGAGACACGGCGGCTGGCGGATATGCGTATACATGGACACACACAACTATTTGTATACATACATATATATATATATATATATATGTATATGCACAATTACCTATAACTTTGTTTGCTTACTGATAGCAGAGTGAGAGGGCCGAGCGGTCATTCATTGTCCCTGGGTGCGTGGCTGAAGTGGGGCTCCGTGGTGGGGATTCTGCTTGTTGTTGTTGTTGTTGTTGTTGTCGTCGTCCCCCCTGCGACCCGCCCGCGACCCACCGGCGACCCACTCCGCGACCCACCCCGCGACCCAGCCCGCGACCCAGCCCGTGACCCAGCCCGCGACCCACCCGCGACCCACCCGCGACCCACCTCGTGACCCGTGGATCCACCCGCGACCCACCCCGCGACCCACCCCGCGAACCACCCGCGACCCACCCCGCGACCCACCCCGCGACCCACCCGCGACCCACCCGCGATCCATACGCGACCCACCCGCGACCCATCCGCGACCCGGCCCGCGACCCACCCGCGACCCACCTGCGACCCACTCCGCGATCCACCCACATTGCTTTAACGAAAAAATCGGCGCCTGCGGCGGGCTCACTGCATAATTTGTAAAAGTTAGGCGCCTGCGGCGGGCTTTTTCAGAGCCTGGCAGACTGACGACGTGCTCGCCGCCCCCTCACTCTTATCCGCAACTTCGGGGTGCTACGTATTTATTTATTTGTTTTTTGTTTATCAGAGTGAGGGGGCCGAACGGTCATTCATTGTCCCTGGGTGCGTGGCTGAAGTGGGGATCCGTGGTGGGGATTCTGCTTGTTGTTGAACTCCCATTTCTGAAAAACAATTATTGTTGATCCCCCCCGCCCGGTGCACATTGTATTTTTTTCGATTGAAGTGCACCTCCCGGGGCTCGCATTTTTTTGTTTTTTGTTTTGAAAAAAAGAAGGGAACGTCTTGAGGCTCAAACTGTGTCGTTGCCCCTCGGTTTACAACAACAACAACAGTTCCCGCTTGATATTTCCTCACACTTTGTTGAAGAATCGCGCTCTCGCTTGGGACTTCCTGGCAATTTACCACCGAATCGCGGCTCCCGCTTGATACTTCTTGACAATTTATTGCAGAATCGCGTTCTCGCTTGGGACTTCCTCGCAACTTACCACCCAACCGCTTCGCTTGACATTTCTTCACAATTTATTCAGATGCTGGTCCTCGACACTCAGGAATCGCGCTCCCGCTACATATTGCCTGGCGGTTCAAGCAGGACTCACGCTTCAACGACCCGGCCGCTCGACCCGCCCGTCGGGGCCTGCCCGCCCGACCAGCCCGTTAATGACTGCAGTCGCCGCTCGCTGCCCTTCGCCCGCCTTCGATGCCCCTCGCTGGCCGTGCTGGGTCCGCGGTCGCCTTCGCTTGCTGCCCTTCGTGGCCCCGTTGCTGCCCTCAGTGGCTCCGTCGCTGCCCTTTGTGGCCCCGCATTGTATGCCCTTCGTGGCCCCCGCTCGCACGCGCCCGTCGTGGCCCCATACGCATGCCCTTCGTAGCCCCGCTGTCGCCCTTCGTGGTCCCCTCGCTGACCTTCGTGGCCCCCTTGCTGCTCTCCCGCTGTCGCCCTTTGTGGTCCCGTATACGAATGCCCTTCGTGGCCCCCGCTCGCTCGCGCCCGTCATGGCCCCCCATATGCATGCCCTTCGTGGCCCCGCTGTCGCCCTTTGTGGCTCCCTCGCTGCCCTTCGTGGCCCCGGTGCTGCCCTCAGCGGCCCCGTCGCTCCCCTCTGTGGCCTCGGATTGTATGCCCTTCGTGGCCCACGCTGGCTTTTCTTACGATTTACCTAGGAATCGCGCTATCGCTCGAGACTTTCTCGCGATTCATGCAGGACCCACGCCTCAGCAACCCGCCTTCTCGACCTCGTCGCCTTGGCCAGTCTTCCCTACCTGCCCGCTATGGGTCTGCCCACCCGATCTGCCCGTCTGGTTCTACCACTGGTTTTCTACTCCTTGCCCCTCTCCTGCTAGTTTCTCTCGTGCTCCATTATTCTTCCTTCCCCTTCCACCCGTCCTCTCTTGCCTTGTTTTAGGGGCTGCATTAAATACACGTGGCAGGTAAGGCAGATATACCCCCAAGGGAGTACGATCGAAGACGACGAGGGCGGGTACCGAGGGTTTGGGATGTACGTATTGATTAGCACCTGAGCAGACAGGAGCGAGCAGTCTTGAAATTATTGTTGAATGTTAATTACTAAACATTTATTATTGTTGGACCCCTTACAGGCGCCCTGGCGCTCTCGCCGAGGCGCCGGCTAGATTTTCATGGAACATGAGGCTCACGCTCGAGCGGTTTGGGGGACCGCCAAAACCGGCCCCCCAACAACAACACCGCTTCCGCTCGAGACTTCCTCCTTTTACTCAGGGCTGGTGTTCTTGCTCGCCGCCGAAAGCCGCCGTCCTAACAACACCAGCGCTCCCGCTCGAGACTTCCTCCCGTTTTACCTTGGACTGGCGCGCTAGTCTTTCTCTCATCGGCGCCGCCTCCAGCAAAAACAACGCTCCCGATCGAGGCTTCCTCCCTTTTTTTAGTCAAGGCGGTGCTCCTCCTCGCCGCCGGAAACCGCCGCCCCGACAAAACCAGCGCTCCCGCCCGAGACTTCTTTCCGTTTTACGCTGGACTGGCGCCAAACTCTCTTTTGAATTGGCGCCGCTCCCAGCAAGAACAATGCTCCCGCTCGAGGCTTCCTCCCTTCTTCCTGAAGACGGTGCTGTTCCTCGCCGCCGACAAGCCCCGTCCCGAAAAAACCACAGCTCCCGCTCGATACTTCGTCCCTTTTTACTCAAGGCTGTGTTCCTCCTCGCCGCTGAAAGCCGCCGCCCCAACAAAACCAGCGCTCCCGCCCGAGACTTCCTTCCGTTTACGCTGGACTGGCGCCTTACTCTCTTTTGAATTGGCCCCGCTCCCAGCAGGAACAACGCTCCCGCTCGAGATTTTTTTTTTGTCCTCGGGACGGTGCTGTTCCTCGCCGCCGACAGCCCCCGTCCCGACAGAACCACGGCTCCTGCTCGATGCTTCTTCCTTTCTTACTCAATGCGGTGTTCTTCCTCGCCGCCGAAAGCCGCCGCCCCAACAACACCAGCGCTCCTGCTCGAGACTTCGTCTTGCTTTACGCTAGACTAGTGCCCTACTCTCTTCAGCATTGGCGCCGCTCCCAGAAACAACAGCAGCCCTGCTCGAGACTCCCTTTCTATTCAGGGCCAGGTCCTTGCCTCACCGCCGACAGCCCCCATCCCCACCAAGGCAATCCTGTCGTTCGATACTTCCTTGTGCTTTGCCCTTCGCTGGGGTTCCACTGGCGGTCTCGCATCGGCGCAGCAAGGCGCGGGCATGTGTTTTCGAGGCGGGATATGTTGAAACTCCTCGGAGGAGGTGTTTGCAAGACCTCATTGGGCGGGAGATCTGGGAATGGGAATAATGGACCACGCTATAGAACAATAGTCCCCCATGATGTGGATGGTTATCATGATGGTCGCATGCTTCGTGTGGAAACATCGCGCATGAGGGTAAAACCATTGTTGTTGTTGTTGTTGCTGTTGTTGTTGTTGTTGTTGTCGTTGTCGTCGTCCCCCCTGCGACCCGCACGCGACCCACCCGCGACCCACCCCGCGACCCATCCCGCGACCCACCCCGAGACCCACCCCGCGACCCACCCGCGACCCACCCCGCGACCCACCCGCGACCCACCCCACGATCCACCCACATTGCTTTCACGGAAAAATCGGCGCCTGCGGCGGGCTCACTGCATAATTTGTAGAAGTTAGGCGCCTGCGGCTGGCTTTTGTCAGAGCCTGGCAGAACGACGACGTCCTCGCCGCCCCCTCACTCTTATCCGCAACTACGGGGTGCTACGTATGTCTGTATGTATGTATGGCTGTATGTATGCATGCATGCATGTATGTACGTATATGTATGTATGTATGTATGTATGCATGCATGCATGCATGTATGTATGTGTGTGTATATGTGTTTGAATGTATGTATGTATGTATGAATGTATGCATGCATGTATGTATGCATGTATGTATCTATGTATCTATGTATCTATGTATCTATGTATGCATGCATGTATGTATGCATACACACATATATACATATATGTATGCATGTATGCATGTATGCATGTATGCATGTATGTATATATGCATGTATGTATGTATGCATGTATGCATGCATGCATGTATGCAGGTATGTATGCATGCATGCATGTATGTCTGCCTGTCTGTCTGTCTGTCTGTATGTATGCATGCATGCATGCATGCATGTATGTATGTATGTACGTACGTATGTATGTATGTATGTATGTTTGTATGTATATATGTATGTATGTATGTTTGCATGCATGTATGTATGTACATTTATATGTATGCATGAACTTATGTATGTATGTATGCATGCATGCATGCATGCATGGATGGACGGATGGATGGATGGATGGATGGATGTATGTGTATGTGTGTGTGTGTGTGTGTGCAGATGTGTGCTGACTGCTGCCCGTCGCATATTGTGGTGCCTGGCTAGCATTGCCCGATTGGTATTGTGAAAGTCTGCATTCTGCTGTGGTCGGAACATGTTGCGTCCGCGTGCGCACGAGAACTGCTCTTTGATGTGCAGCCACACATTTTGGGCGTTCGTAGACCAGTGTGCATCCGTCGTATGTACTCAGTGAGCATGACCTTGTTCTTTACTTTGTGCCATCTTGAAGGACACCAGTTTCGGGCGCTACGTAGCCATGAAGGTGCAGAAGAGCGCACCACATTACACCGAGGCCTTGGTTTTTATTACGTTTGTGAATTGCACTGGGTCCGACCCCCTGAGGCAACAGACCACCGCGAGGGCTTGCCGGACGGCCGTCAGGGCAGTGGTATTCTTGTGGAGGTGCATGAGGAGGAGGAGGAGGAGGAGGGGGAGGAGGAGGAGGAGAAGCGGCTTCACCACGAGTGGCAGGAGCGGAAACAGAAGCAGCAGCCGAAGCAATGTGCAGACGCTTTTCGCGTATTCCCACGAGCCCATCCAGGGACGAGTCTCAGGAGAGCATCTCCGGCCAGGAAGTGTGGGAGTGCGGGGTCCTTCGGTGAGACGGACACACAGGCATGGAGGCAGTCGCAGTACCACTTTAACGTGGGCGAGCGCACGGGTGACAAACAGGATGACAGCCCTGCCCCTCCCCGTAGAAATCCAGTGCAGAGTGATCGTGGTCGGGGTGCCCGTTCGTGATCCAGATGCTTTTACCTTGACGTGCGCCTGGTATTGTTTTTGATCATGTGCCATGTGCTGGGAGCTTCCCGTCCCCGCTTGCCGAGTGTACTGTCATCTGGCGCCTTCTGGGGCAGCTCAGCTCAGAGAGGATTAGCCATGAAATTCGATCGTGTCTTTCGGACAAGCAACAAGAGTCGGACCAGGAAGGCGATAATGATGATCATGGTGGTACTGGTGCTGCTGCGGCTGCTGCTGCTGCTGCTGATGATGATGATGATGATGATGATGATCATGACGAGTGGGACGATGACGCTGCTGCTGATGACGATGATGAAGATGAAGATGCTGCTGATAATGATGATGATGATCATGATGAGGATGATGATTATGACGCTGCTGATCATGATGATGTTGATTGATTGATTGATTGATTGATTGATTGATTGATTGATTGATTGATTGATTAATTGACTGAAGGATTCATTGACTGATTGGTTGATTGTTTGATAAATGATGATTATGATGCTGATGATGCAGGTGATGATGCTGATGATGATGATTATGACGACGAGGTATGCGCAAGTCTATGCTGGAGGTTTGAACGGGTCGGTGACCGGTCTGGTGCTAACCTGCTCCTTGGTAGACGCAGGCGTCGTTTTGCAGAGAACGGTGAAGCTATTTTTGTGTAGTTCTGGGCGTCTTCGATTGCCCACACCATCTCTCCACGCGCGCATCTGCGCTCGTGTTGCTCGGGCACGCCATATGCTGTTGCGGCGCCTTTCGATCTCCTTGACTCGGTGCAGGCGCACCGCTGGCGCCCTCCAGCTCTTCGCCGCCCCCCCCCCCCAGGGCCGAGGGGAGAGGGCGCCCGCAAGGCTGCCTACGACGAGATCAAGCTGCTGTGGGAGGCGGCCAAGCGGGGCAACTCGCCAGAGTGGGAGGCGCGGCGCGGCGCCCCGCTCTGGCGCGTCGCCCTCCTCCAAACGTGTCCCCTTCCCCTCCTCCAGCGCGAGCTCCCACTTGCTGCGCAGGGAGGGCGAGGGAGGCGGAGGATGACGCAGGGGGCTCGAGGGGGTCTCTGTAGGTGTCCGAATCGCAGTGATGGGGTGTCCGAGCGGTCTTACTCTATATCGCTGCGTGCGCGTCCGACCGGAGCCTCGGCCCCGGTGCGGGCACGCTGCACGGGCACGCTGTGCGGGCGCGCCGTGTGTGAGCGCTGATGTGGGGCACATCCCGCGCTGCTATCCGCAAGTGCGGGTTGCTACGTGTCGAAGACCCCTCCCACAGCGAATCACCGCCGCGCCCGGCTTTTGGAGTCGCCCATGTGGCCGGGAGTTGTGGCAAGAGCTCGGCCAAGCTATCCGACCATGTGTTCCCCCAGCCGTTGTGGAAACCCTTCGGGGAACTCTTGGGGGAGGATGTCGGGGAAGACCAGGAGGATGAGGAGGAGGAGGAGGAGGAGGAGGAGGTGGAGGAGGAGGAGGAGGAGGAGGAGGTGGAGGAGGAGGAGGAGGAGGAGGAGGAGGAGGAGGAGAGGGCATTTTGGGAGCCTCTGGGGGCACTCTTGGGGCCTCCTGGGAGTTTGCTGGGAGCCTCTTGGAGACATCTTGGGGGCCTCCGTGGGCCTCTTGGGGGCCCTTTGGGGCTTCTCGGAGGCCCCTTCGCCAGTCTTAGGGCGTTCCTGGCCCGTCTGACGCCGTCTCACGCTGTTGGACGCCTTTCAGGGCCGACTTGGGGCCCTCTTGGGGTGCTCCAGGGCCGTCTTGGAGGCCATCTTGGGCGTCTCGGAGGCCTCCTGGGCCGTCTTGTGGCCCTCTTGGGGATGTCTTGGGGGTCTCTTGGGCCGTTTTGGGGCCATCTTGGAGGCTTCTTGGGCGATCTTTGGGCGATCTTTGGGGGCTCTTGGACGTCTTGGATCGTCGGTAGTTCGAAAAACAGCAAATTCTAAAACCTTTCAAACACCTCAGGAACATCGATTGTTTTTGTCTCTTCTGGCCTTTCTGGAGGACCCCTTGGAGGCCTCTTGGGGGCCGCTTGGGCCGTCCTGGACCATCTTGAAGCCATCTTGGGCCGTCTTGGGTGCATCTTGGGCTGTCTTGAGTTCATCTTGGGCCCATCTTGGGCTCTCTCAGGGCCGTCTTGGCAGTCTTGGAGACGTCTTGGAGGCATCTTGGAGGCCATCTTGGGCCATCTTGGCCGTCGTAGAGGCGATCTGGGTGGGGACCTTTCCTTGTGGCCGGCGCGCTGGGCCGAAGCCCCAGGGCTCAACGACGCCTTAAGTGATTCAGGGCGCCAAGCACCCACCCCTCTGGCAAGCGAACAGGGGGCGGCGTATCGAAGACGACTGCAGCGAATCACCGCTGCCCCCGTCTTATGGAATCGCCCATGTGGCCGGGCGTTGTGGCAAGAGCTCGGCCAAGCTATCTGACCATTTGTTCCCTCAGCCGTTCTGGAAACCCTTCGGGGAAGGCTTGTGGGAGGATGGCGGGGAAGATCAGGAGGAGGAGGAGGAGGAGGAGGAGGAGGAGGAGGAGGAGGAGGAGGAGGAGGAGGAGGAGGAGGAGGAGGAGGAGGAGGAGGAGGGGGCATCTCGGGAGCCTCTGGTGGCACTCTTGGGGCCTCCTGGGAGTTTCCTGGTGGTCTTTTGGAGGCCTCTTGGGGGCCTTCTTTGGGCCTCTGGGGGGCCTTTTGGGGCTTCTCGGGGCGTTCCTGGCCAGTCTGATGCCGTCGGACGGCTTGCAGGGCCGACTTGGGGCCCTCTCTTGGGGCGCTTCGGGGCCGTCTTGGAGGCCATCTTGGGCGTCTTGGAGGCCATCTTGTGCGTCTCGGAGGCCTCTTGGGCCGTCTTGGGGCCCTCTTCGGGCCGTCTTGAGGTTGCTTCTTGGGATCGTCGGAAGGCCGAACAGAGGCAAATGCCGAAGTCCCACAACAACCTAGGGCAAATCAAGGATTTTGGCCTCTTCGGGTCTTTCTGGAGGCTCTCTTGGAGGCCTCTTGGGCCGACCTCTTGGGAGCATCTTAGGCCGTCTTGGGCCATCTTGGAGCCATCTTGGGCCGTCTTGGAGGGCCCCTGGTCCGTCTGACGCCGCCAGAAGCCTTCTTGGGGGCCTCTCTGGGCTGACTCGGGGCCCTCTTGGGGTGCTCCAGGGCCGTCTTGGAGGCCATCTTGGGCGTCTCGGAGGCCTCTGGGGCCGTCTTGTGGCCCTCTTGGGGCCGTCTTGGGAGCCTCTTGGGCCGTTTAGGGGCCATTTTGGAGGCCTCTTGGGCGATCTTCGGGCGATCTTTGGGCGATCTTTGGGGGTTCTTCGGCCGTCTCTGGCCGTCAGAGGGCCGAACAGAAGCAAATGCCCAAATCCTACGACAACCTAATGAACGTCAATGATCTTTGCCTCTTCGGGCCCTCCTGGAAGAACTCTTGGAGGCCTCTTGGGCTTGGCCCGTCTTGGAGGCTTCGTGGGCAGACTTGGAGGCATCTGGAACCCTCTCGGGCCGTCTTGGAGGCCATCTTGGACCATATTGGGCGAACTTGGAAGCCATCTTGCCCTCTTGGATGCCATCTTGAGCCGTCTTGGGAGATTGTTTCGGGACCTTGAGGTCCCTTCCAGGTGGCCTGCGGCATCGGCCGAAGCCCCAGGGTATATTAAAAACCACGAACCTCCTGAAGTCTGGCACGCGGGGCACCCCTGTGGCAAGCCAACAGGGGGCGGCGGATCGAAGACGCCTACGGCGAATCACCGCCGCCCCCCTGCCTTTTTGGAAGCGCCTGTGTGGCTAGAGCTTGGCCAAGCTATCGGACCATGTGTTCCCACAGCCGTCGTTGAAACCCTTCGGGGAACACGTGATGAAGAGGCGAATGAGGAGAATAAGGTAAACGGAGGAGGAGGAGGAGGATGAAGAGACGGAGGAGGAGGAGGAGAAGGAGGAGGAAGAGGAGGAGGAGGAGGAGGAGGAGGACCAGTGTAAACCTAAGAGTCATCAATGATGTTGGAATCGACCCTCCCTCCAAGCTCCCTCTTCATAGCCCCCCCACAACGGTTCATTTCCATTTAGGGAACTGCCTTGTTGGAAGACAACCGTTTGAAGATCCTGAAGCATGCCAAGACATTGTTCTCTGGATTTCAACGCCACGTATCACCTGTCTGCTGCGTCTTGGCGATCTGGAATCGTCCAGAGCGCCATTTGGGGATTTCAACTCCGCGAATCAATATAACTGTTGCACCCGCATAATCCAGACTCCTTCCAAAACACCACTTCTGGTATGTTGATCATGGGAGTCCGTGCAACTCTTGTTGCAAATTTCGGAAACGAATGTTCGCGGCGCTAAGGCGAGAGCCACATTTTGAAAACGACCCGCCCTCAATCTGTGAAGTTCTTGCACTTTTTAGAACGAATGTGCGCGGCGCTAAAGGGGAGAGCCACCTTTTGAAGACGACCCGCCTTTTCAATCCGTGAAACTCGAGCAAACTTTCAGAACGGATGCGCGCGGCGCTAAAGCGAGAGCCACATGTTGAACACGACCCGCCTTCAATCCGTGAAGCGCTTGCAATTTTTTTTACAACGATTGTCCGCGGCGCTAAGGCGATAGCCACATTTTGAAAACGACCTGCCTTCAATCCTTGAAACGCTTGCAACTTTTTAGAACGAGTGTGCGCGGCGCTAAGGGGAGAGCCACAGTTTGAAAACGACCCGCCTTCAATCCGTGAAACTCTTGCAATTTTCTGAAACGAATATGCGCGGCGCTAAGGTGAGAGCGACATTTTGAAAACGACCCGCCTTCAATCCTTGAAACGCTCGTAATTTTTTTTTAGCACGAATGTGCGCGGCAGGCGAGAGTCTTATTTTGAAAACGACCCGCCCCCCATCTGTGAATTTGTTATCATTTTTAAGCTTCAGAATCATACGTTGTGAGGACGTCTCAGGCGAAACGCCCAGCCCGCCCAAAAATTGGTTTCAGGATGCGACAGGGAGACGTTATTCGTATGGAGAATGAATGGAGGAGGAGGAGGAGGAGGAGGAGGAGGAGGAGGAGGAGGAGGAGGAGGAGGAGGAGGAGGAGGAGGAGGAGGATGAGGAGGAGGAGGGAGGATGAGGAGGAGGAGGAGGAGGAGGGAGGAGGAGGAGGAGGAGGAGGAGGAGGAGGAGGATCGGAGGAGGGAGGAGGAGGAGGAGGGAGAGGAGGAGGAGGTGGAGGAGGGAGGAGGGGAGGAGGAGGGAGGAAGGAGGAGGAGGAGGAGGAGGAGGAGGAGGAGGAGGAGGAGGAGGATGGGGAGGAGGAGGAGAGGGAGTGGGAAAAGAAGGAGAGGAGGAGGAGAGGAGGAGGAGGAGGAGGAGGAGGAGGAGGAGGAGGAGGAGAGGAAGAGGAGGAGGAGGAGGAGGAGGAGGAGGAGGAGGAGGAGGAGGAGACCTCTTGGGAGCCTCTTGGGGCACTCTTGGGGTCTCCTGGGAGCTTCCTGGGAGCCTCTTGTAGGCCTCTTGGGGGTCTTCTTCGGCCTCTTGGGGGCCTTTGGGGGCTTGTTCGGGGCCTCTTTGGCCGTCTTAGGGCGTTCCTGGCCCGTCTAACGCCGTCGGGAGCCGTCTTGGGGGCCTCTCTGGACCGCCTTGGGGCCCTCTTGGGGTGCTTCAGGGCCGTCTTGGAGGCCATCTTGGTCATATAGAGGCCTCTTGGGCCTTCTCGGGCCCCCTCTGGGCCGTCTTGGGGGCTTCTTGGGCCGTCCTGGGGCCGTCTCGGAGGCCTCTTGGGCGCTCTGGGGGCGATCTTGGGGGCCTCTTCGGCCGTCTTGGGCCGTCGGAAGGCCGAAAAGAAGCAAATGCCGAAATCCTTCAAACACCGAGAGACACATACATGATTCTGACCTCCTCGGGCCCTCCTGGAGGACCTCTTGGAGGCCTCTTGGGCTGTCTTGGAGGCCTCTTTGGGGCCTCTTGGGCCGTCTTGGGCCGTCTTGGAGGCTTCTTGGGTAGTCTTGGAGCCATCTTGGACCCTCTCGGGCCGTCTTGGAGGCCATCTTGGACCATGTTGGGCGAATGTGGAGGCCATCTTGGCCGTCTTGGAGGCCATCTTGGGCTATCTTGACCGTCTTGGAGGCGATTTGGGCAACCACCCGGGCATCTTCGGCAGCCTTCGGGTGGCCTGCGGGATCGGCCGAAGCCCCTGGGGGCAGTTCTTTTGGAAGAGAACCCAAACCAAGCCGTATAGGGTCTAGCACGCCAGGCACCCCTGTGGCAAGACCACAAGGGGGCGGCGGATCAAAGACGCCTACGGCGAATCACCGCCGCCCCCTGCCTTTTTGGAAGCGCCTATGTGGCCGAAGGTTGTGGCCAGAGGCCTGCCAAGCTATCGGACCACGTGTTCCCCGAGTTGGTTTGGAAAGCCTTCGGGGAACACGTGAGCATCTTGAAGGTCATCTTGGCCGTCAGGAGGCCATTCTGACCCTTTCGGGCCTTCTTGGAGGACGTCTTGGAGGGCTCTTGGGCCGTCTTGGAGGCTACCTTGAGCGTCTTGGAGACCTCTTGGGCCGTCTTGAGGGCCTCTTGGGGCCGTGTCTTGGGCCTCTTGGGCGATCTTTGTGGGCACTTGGGCCGTCTTGGGCCGTCGGAAGGCAGAAAAAAAGCAAATGATGCCACAATCCTTCAAGAACTCATGGCAAATCAATGATTGTGGACTTTTCGGGCCTTCCTGGAGGCCCTCTTGGAGGCCCCTGGGGCCGTCTTGGGCCATCTTAGGGCCATGTTCGGCCGTCTTGGTGGGCTCCTGGTCCGTCTGACGCCGTTGGAAGCCATTTGGGGGGCCTCTCTGGGCCGACTTGGGGCCCTCTTGGAATGTTCCAGGGCCGTCTTGGAGGCCATCTTGGGCGTCTTAAAGGCCTCCTGTGCCGTCTTGGGGCCCTCTTGGGCCGTTCTGGGGCCATCTTGGAGGCCTCTTAGGCGATCTTTTGGCGATCTTTGGGGGCTCTTGGGCCGTCTCGGGCCGTCGGAAGGCCGAAAAGAAGCAAATGTCAACATCTGTCAAATACCTTAGGAAATCTTCTGGCCTTCCTGGAGGCCTTCTTGGGGGCCTCTTGGGCCGTCTTGGGTCAGCTTTGAGCCAACTTCGGCCATCCTGGTGGGTTCCTGGCACGTCTGACGCCCTCTTGGGGCCGTCTTGGAGGCCACCTTTCGGTTTTGGTTTTGGTTCCTTTTCCAAAAGAACTCTCCCAGTGGGCTTCGGCCCGACCCGCCGGTCACCCGTAGATCGCCCAATTCCCGGAACAATCCTCCTAGACGGCTCAAGATGGCCTCCAAGATGGCCACGTTGGCCCAAGATGGCCTCCAAGATGGTCCAAGATGGCCTCCATCCAAATTCGCCCAAGATGGTCGAAGACGGCCTCCAAGATGACCCAAGAGAGTCCAAGACGGCCCAAGACGGCCCCAGAGGCCCCCCAGAGGCCTCCAAGACGGCCCAAGAGGCCTCTAAGAGGTCCTCCAGGAGGGCCCGAAGAGGCCAAAATCATTGATTTTCCTTAGGTTTTTGAAGGATTTGGGGATTTGCTTCTTCTCGGCATTCCGACGGCTCAAGCCGGCCCAAGAGGCCCCCAAGATCGCCCAAGAGGCCCCCAAGAGGGCCCCATGCAGCCCGCGATGAATCGACAGGGGGCGGCGGATGTAATGGCCTTCGGCCCATCCCGCCACCGTGCCTGGGTTGTGGATATGAAACCTACGTATTGGATGTTCGCTGGGATCTCGTGGGAGGCTTCTTGGCGGCTTCTTGGATGCCGTTTTGGGGCCTCTTGGGGCCTCTTTTGCCCCTCTTGGCTCTCGGGGGGCCTCTCAGGAGCCTCTTGGGGCCTCCTGGGGGCCTTTTGGGGTGGAAGGCTCGGATTTTCGATTCGTGTTCCCTCTCTTTGGCCTCTCGGGGGCCCTCTTGGGCCGTCTTTGGCGCCTCTTGGGCCGCCTTGGGGCGATCTTAGGCTGTCTTGGGGTGCTCCTGGAGGCCTCTTCAGCCGTGTTGGGGTGGTCTTGGGGGCCTCTTTGGGCGCCTCGGGGCGCTCTTAGGCCGTCTTGGGGCCCTCTTGGAGGCCTCTTGAGCCGTTTTGGGGTGGTCTTGGAGGCCTCCTGGGCGGTCTCGGAGCGTCGGAAAGCCGACAAAGCGAGAACGCCAAACTTTTTTCAATAACCTTGCGAACATTCGTAACTTTTGCCTCTTGGGGCCCTCTTGGGAGGCCTCGGTGCGTCTCTCTTGGGCCATCTTGAGGCCGTCTTGGGCGTCTTGGAGCGACCTCTCGGTGACTCGGGGCCCTCGTGGGACCGTCTTGGGGGCCTCGTGGGGCCCTCTTGGGCCCGTCTTCGGGCCCTCGTGGGCCCGAAAAAAGTCGTGCGGGAAGACGCGACAGGTCCCAAGGGGCACGCTGGGAGCCTCGCCGAATGCTGGAATTCTTCACGCTTCGCGCATCCCCACCAGCCCATTCCAGAACAGCAACTTGTGCGAAGCATGCCGGCAGTCGTGGCTTTCGGGCGCACCTCCTCCTGCCCACGCATATATCCTTCTACTTCTCTGGGTCTTTCGCTCTGGGAGCCTCTTGGAGGCATCTTGGGGGTATCCTGGAACCTTCTTGGGGATATTTTGGAGGTCTCTGGGCCCTTTTGGGGTTCCCGTGGTGCCTCTCGGGGCTCCCTTGGGGCTCCCTTGGGGCTCTCTTGGGGCGCTGTTGGGGCCCTCTTGGGGCTTTTTGGGGGAGTCTGGGAGGTCTCTTGGGGCCATCTTGGAGGCGATCGATCAAAACAGGGACGAGCACTCATCTCGCCCCCCCCCGTCGGGTCCTGAAACCCTATGAGATTACAGCATGCGGCGCCTTTTCGGCTGCCCATCTTGGACGCTCTAACCCCTCGCGGCCCCCCCTCTCCAGGTCCAGGGGGAGGGGGTAGGGGGAGGGGTAAACCCCTCCCCGAAGGGGAAGAAGGGGGGTTGAGGACAGAGAGGGCTCCCTAAACCACTCACGCCCAAAGGGCTGGTGGGATTTGGGGTCCGGGCCCCTCAAAAGACTCTTCAGGATTGGGTGCTGAGGCTCCAGGAATTCGGCAACGGACCTGAGGACACGCCCACACCGTGCCCGGAGGCACGGTGGCGGATTTCGATCGTTTTCGATGCGTTCCACATGCATTGGGAAGATTCCGGAGGATGGGGGGATGTGGCGTGGGCCACTGTATCGTCGACGTGACATGTTCGCAGTGCCGTTTGGCTGCTGCCGAGGTGGACCGTTAGCAATTGAGGTGGTCTCGGCGTCAACCCAACATACCAAGACTGTGCGTGCGTTGCCCCGCCAGGGGCGACACGCGCACCGAGAAATCCCATCATATATGCGTCGCGGGGGGGCGCTTTCCGGCCGTACCGCTCGGGAAGCAATCTGCTACAAGATTTGTGTGCACTGTCTCTTCGGGTCGGACTCGGGCCTCCGAGGGGGACGCACAGTGCCAGAACTATCCTTCTGCGTCCCATGGTCGCCCGTGCCTGGGGCGCCCCCCCCCAAGGAAGCTCGAGCTGCATGAGAAGTGAGAGAAGCACAAGCTGGAGGGGTTGGACGGGGCTTCTCCTGCCGCAACCCGCCATGCCGGCAGGCCTCCCAGCAGGGGCCCATCCTGAGGGAGCTGCTGCCGACGAGCCCCTTCACGGGCGCCCCACCCCCCGCCCGCATCCCCGCCCTCCTCACACTCCAGCTGCCTCTGCCTCCCTCTTGTTTCTCTCCCCCTCGCCTCTCTCTTTCCCTCTCTCTTTCCCTCTTGTTTCTCTTTCTCGCTCTCTCTTTCCCTCTCTCTCTCTCTCGCCCTCCAGTTGCCTCTATATCTTCCTCTCCCTTTCCCTCTCCCTCGCCATGCTTGTTTTGCTTAGGTTTGTTTGCTCCTCTCTCTTCTCTCTCTTTCTCTGTTTGTTTGTTTGTTTGTTTGCCTGTTTGTTTGTTTGTTTGTTTGTTTGTTTGTTTTTTGTTTGTTTGTTTGTTTGTTTGTTTGTTTGTTTGTTTGTTTGTTTGTTTGTTTGTTTGTTTCTTTGTTTGGTTGTTTGTTTGTTACTTGTTTGTTTGTTAGTTTGTTAGTTTGTTTGTTAGTTTGTTTGTTTGTTTAGCGGAAGAGACTCGCTCTCGACCCGCAGACCAAACGTTTGTTTGTTTAGGTTGCTTAATGTGTTAGTTTGTTGGTTTCCCTCGCTTCTCTTTCCTTTTCTCTCTCTCCTCCTCCTCCTCGTCCTCCTCCTCCCCTCCTCCTCCTCCTCCTCCTCCTCCTCCACCTCCTCCTCCTCCTCCTCCTCCTCCTCCCCCTCCTCCCCCCTCCTCCTCCTCCTCCCCCTCCTCCTCCTCCTCCTCCTCCTCCTCCCCCTCCTCCCCCTCCTCCTCTCCTCCTCCTCCTCTTCCTCCTCCTCCTCCTCCTCCTCCTCCTCCTCCTCCCTCCTCATCCTCCCCCTCCTCCTCCTCCTCCTCCTCCTCCTCCTCCTCCTCTCTCCTCCTCCTCCTCCTCCTCCCTCCTCCCCCTCCTCCTCCTCCTCCTCCTCTCCTCCTGCTCCTCCTCCTCTTCCTCCTCCTCCTCCTCCTCTCCTCCTCCTCCTCCTCCTCTCTCTCTCTCTCTCTTTCTCCAGTCTCGGCTCCAGGGGCCCGCGCGCCTCTGCGGGCCACGGCGCCTGGCCCTCCTTCAATTCGCTGGCCTGGGGAGACCCGCCGGCCGCCTCGATCCGCGGCCCACCGACAAGGCAACCCTCCCTCCCCGGGCTTCCCTCTCCTCGAAGAAGGACAGAAACGCCACCCCTCGCGCCTCTGCGAGCCACGGAGCCTGGCCCTCCTTCAATTAGCTGGCCTGGCGAGACCCGACGGCCGCTTCGATCCGCGGCCCACCGACAAGGTAACCCTCCCTCCCCGGGCTTCCCTCTCCTCGAAGAAGAAGAAGAACAGAAGCGCCACAAACGTAAACTTTTGGCCCTCCGCGCGGATTCCTCGGATCCGCGCTGGGCTCCCCCGGCGGCGCCGCAGGCGCCGACCCCTGGTGCGCTCCGCGCGCCAGGGATGGGGGGTCCGGCGCAGATCCAGGAGATCCGCGCGGAGCGCCAAAAGTTGATGTCTGTGCCGTTTTTTCTTCTTCTGCTCCCCCGCGGCCGCGCAGCCCACGGCAGGCCGCCGTGCCCCGCGCGCTGCTCCGTCGGCACCCCAGAGAGGAGCGTGCACCCCGCCGCCCACCCGGCAAATGCGGACTCGCGCTGGCAGGGGCACGGAGGGACGCGGGAGCTGACTGTGTCACTCCCGCGTTCGATCAGCTCTCTTCGGCCGCCTCTCATGATGTCGACCGCGTCTGCCACGAGCACGCCCACCAGCCCATCGAGCTCCGCAGTGCTTGCAAACGGGCTTCGCGGCCAACATGAGATCAGCTGGACGCTTGCCCATCACGACGCCAAGGGCCAACCACGCCGTGCAGATGAGACCAAGGGTCCACACCGCCGCCCCGACTCCCCCAAGGAGTCCAACCCTCTACTGATGAGCTTCGATGCGGCATACTGGTCCGCCCCAGTCGTGGTTGAACTAACACGGCCCCCCAGCGGCGACCCGCTCAACAGCAGTAGTTCTTTTTTAATGGCCACGAGGGGGTAAGGTAAGGCCGACCAATACTTACGCAGGACGAAAGATTTTCCTCTTGAGGTCGAAGAGGACCGCTGTTTCCGCTGTTTGCCGCGCCATGAAGGTCTGTGCCTTGCAGCGCCACTCGGCGGCCGAAGCCGCCGCCAGAGGAGGGGGGAGGAAGGCCCGTCCCGCCCAGGCGCGCGGGGCGGCGGAGGAGCGGGGGCCAGGCCTGGCGACTCTACGAGCAGAGGCGCCAGAGGACCCCGCCAGGAGGAGCAGAGGAGAGCCTGCCTGGGCCAGGGGAGGAGAGGGGCGGGGTCCAAGGGCCAAGGCGGCAGTCCGAGGGCCTCCGAGAGAAGGGGGGAAAGGGCCTCACGGGGAAAGGGAAGGGGAGAAGCCTCGGACTGCCTCAAGATGCCGAATTGGGATGTGGCCCGTCGCGCTGCCGCCCAGGATATCCGCCCAAGTCCAGCAGCTTATCCTTACCTGGGCGGCAGCGCACAGGCGCTGGGACCAGGTGGGCAGAAGGCCCACCTGGTGTGCCTCCCCCTAACCCCTCCAGAGCCAGAAGGCCAACGACAATGAATCCCCGGGCAAGGCCCTGAATAAGGGAGAAAGAAGGGGGTTAAGGGGGAGGCACCAAATTTCGGTCCCTAGGGACCCCTATGTCGCGGCCCCCTCAGGCGCCGTCGGCCGCGAGCTCGCCGAGCCTCGAGAGCCGCGCCCTCTCCGAACTCGCTGTGCTGGTGGTCCTGCACTGGTCCTTGTCGAGGACGGTCTTGTCGGCCCACTCCCTCGCCTCGTCAGCGAAGTCGGGGCACTCCTCCGCCTCGATGGACCACTCGGTAGTCCACGATCTTGAGGTACCGCCTGATTGTATTGTCCTCGATCTCGTGGTACTCGACTCAGTCGTGCTGGTCGAGGTAGCTTTGGTTGACTCTGCAGTGCCCAACCTTGTGGCCCCCGGCTCAGTCACCGTCGTGCTGGTCGAAGTGGTAGTGCTTGACTCGGTGATGCTCGAACCTTCTCCATTCAACTCGGTAGTGCTGATTAAGTGGTACGTTTGACTCCGTGATGGTGAGCTCTTGGTACTGGGCTCGGTCGCGCTGGTCGAGTGGTACTGCATGGCTGCGAGGAGCTCGAACTCATAGTGCTCGACTCAGCCGCTGAGGTACTTGTCGTGCTGGTTGCGGGTCGTTGGGAGGTCGGCTTGTTGTTGGTGATGTGGAATAGGTTGTGGGCACACTCAGGGCCTCCATGCACCGACTTCAAGTGGGGTTCTTGGCGGCCCCACCTCGTCCCGCTATGGCTAGGGGTCACGGTGCCCTCGGTGGGGGCGAACCCCAGGCCCAGTGATTCTTCTGTTGTCGATGAGGAATGTCTCGGCTGCCCTATGCTTCGCCCATTGGGCGCTCGGGAGCTCCTTCTCCGCCGTGGGAATGGTGGCGGTGGCGAGCTAGGGCGGACCGCGGGGGCGCGGGTAGTTGCGTCCTACCCCCCCCCTGCCCCTCACCATCCCCCCTGGTGGGCGCGGGCAGTACTCGTCCTGCCCCCCCCACCCTTCGAGCCCGTCTCGAAGTTTGATCCTTGCCTCACCAGGGCAGCGTTGACTTGTGCGTGGTGTAGTGGGCATGACGTCTGGCTGGAACCTCTGAGCCCTGGCTGTGCTGCTGCTATGTGCATCACTGCCGCAAAACGTGGCGACTTGTGCCTGGGGTGTTCCCACGCATTCGGGGCTTCCCCAGGACTTGCGTCCTGACAACTCGTGCAAAACTTGGCGACGTTGCCTGAGGTGTTCCCTCGCATTCGGGGCTTCCTCAGGACTTGCGTCCTAACTATTTTGTACTTGTCGTCGGAGCTCTTCGCCGCGTTCATCATCATCATCAAACTGTGCTCGATCAGCACTCGTCGAGTTGGTGGTCCTGCCCATAGCCTTGTCGGGTCGGTCCTGCAGGGCCCACTCCCTCGCCTCCTCCAACCAGGTCGGGGCGCTGCCTCGCCTCGCTGGGCCTCGGTGGTAGTCCTGGCCCATCTCCCTGGTCTTGTAGTGGTCGAGCGGCTGGAGAAAGTGGGCCACGTCGTCGTCGATGTGCCATCCGTTGTCATCGCTAGGCGTCTCGCCGAAGCGCCGCCTTATCTGCTTCATCAGCGCCGTCGCGATGGCCTGGCACAGCCTGTTCGGATGCTCCTTGGCCGCCGTGGCGCGCCACTGGCCGTCGCCGTTGATGCCCGCCAGCTCAGCGTGGTAGTTGGCCGTGTGGAAGCACCTCCCGCCTCCAGGCAGCCTACTTATCTCCGATCGGAGAGTCGGGGGGGATACCGCCAGCAGGCTTGTGGACTTCCTCGAACGCGCCCCGCAGGTGCACTGGTCGAAGGTGATCAGCTCGACTCCCTGCTGGCCAAGGAGGTGGCGCGTCTCGGGGGGCCTCCAGGAGCTGGCGAAGTGCTCCTCGGTGGGCTCGCACGGGTGCTCGAGCATGCCTGGGACGCCAAGGTTGAGGCACATGTACAGGAGCTCCAGCTGTGTCCTGTAAAGGCGATTGCCTGTCGCTACTTGTTCCATCTCTGGCCGGGAGGGGTAGCGGAGGCCCCACAAGCTGTTGTTGCTCCTCAGGGGTCTTGGTGGTCGACCCCTGCAGGCGTTGGGGGCAGGTGACGCGCCCGGCTCCAAGTCTCGCACGGTGGTCCGCCGATGACTCCTGCCAGCCTTCCTGCCTGTGCCATGCTGCTCCACTTGTTGACTGCAACTTCTGATGTAAGGTCGCCGAAGGTCGGGTCGTTGGCCACGTCCAGGCTGAGCATGTGTACGTCGCATGAGGCTCGACTGCTTACGCGGTCGAACCAATCCTGAACGTCTCCCTCTCGGCGTCGACCGCTGAACATATGCAGCACGTATAGTGTCCGAGCTGGCCTGGGCCTGGGTAGCTGGCGGCGGCGGCGGTTCCTCGATGAAGGGGAGCTCGAGGTCCTGGTAGTGGCCGCTGTTGCTGTCGTCGCTATCCTCGTCCGTGTGTATCTCTGGCGGACGAGCAGGGACTGCAGGCTTCTCTGCCCAGTCAATGGGCCTGCCAGCCCTTCTATTCGCCTGCTGTTGGTCCCTCACCACTTGCTGGTTGTGCTGCAGCTCGGATTTGCTGAGAAGCGCTGGACGTGTCCTTCGCCAGTGTCGAGCGCACCTGCGCACACGCAGCAAGTGCTTGACCAGTCTGTTCGTGGTGTGGTAGTCCATGCCGCATCCGTAGCAGACCGAGCCCGTTGCCCACGAGATGGGATGCCCCGACGAGGTGTGTTCCTTGGTGATGTGGGCTCGTAATACTGCTGCACTGAGCTCTGTACGTCCGCAGTGATAGCAGAGGTACTTTCGCTGCTGCTCGAATTGCTGGTCTGGGAAGGGCGAGATGGCTTCCGAGTTGGTCCAACGCTGGAGTCGTAGCCGCCATCGAGCGTGGTGGTCGCGATCGTACTGGCGGGCTTTGCCATGTTGGCAAGCTTTCTTGACGACGCTAAGGTAGCTTTTGTAGTCGTTCCTGGCCCAGTCCTTCCAGTCGTCGAGTGTGTATGCTCCACCACGCTCGTCAGGTCCTGTGTGGTCGGACCCAGTCTAGATCGCGGCGGAGTAATGCTACCCATCCATAACTCCCGTCCCATGCTTGGCTGAGTAATCGGCGGAGGTGTAAGGGCCCCCAGTTGAGGCATCTACCGAATAGCCGAAGTCTCTCGAGGCGTAGGACGATCCCGGGGGGCTGCTTGTCGACTCCTTCAAGGATCTGGGTGTTCGTGACCTCCTTCTTCTGTCGCACTTTCCATGTAATCCTCTGTGCGGCAGCGTAGTTCACGACGTACTGGTTGTTGAAGTTCCTGGCCTGGCCTGCTGTGAGTTCGGGCCAGGTGGGCGCGTTGTATAGCAGATGGGATAACACCACACTGTCGGCTAGGTAGGGCTTGTCTTTGACGGCCAGCTCTGAGCGGCCATGGACTTCACGATGGAGAGGCCGCGTGGATGTCGCAGCGGTAGCCACTTTCACTGCGACGTCCACCCCAGGAGATGCGTTGTCGGCTACGTAGGTCCCGAGGAGCTTGTGGTGGCGGACTACCTCGACGTAGCTCTCCGCGAGGGGGACCTCGATCCTCGGCACTCCATTGGAATAGAAGTTGGCCCGAGCTTGCCGGCTTCCAGGCCCACTGAAGTCGATCATCACCTTGGTCTTGGTGAGCTGCAGCTGGAGGCCGAAGGTGCTGGTGGCGCAGTAGACGGCCTCGCAGAACCCAGTGGCCTCGGTCTGAATGTGGTCGGGGCTGGTGAACACGTGCATGCCCGTCAGGTCATCGACGAACGATAGGCCGTGGGGTTCGTGCTCCTGGAGTGGTCCTTCTGTTGGGTCGGTGGCGCATGCGAAGCTGCTCTCCAGAGGTATGCCCTGGGCCCTGAGCCCTCGCTGTGCCAGGTAGCTGTCGATCATGCGGTGGACTCGGCCGAAGAGCAGATTGAAGTCCGCGTCGGCGAGGGGCACGCCAGGCCTCGTTCCCTTGTGAGGCGCCATGAAGCTCTGTGAGAACCTGTGCGATGTCCACCTGTTGCGATACCCTTCGGCGATGAGGGCAGCCAGGTGGGGGCCGTCCAGCACTGTGTCGAGAATCCCTGGGTTGGCCATGAGGTGCTCCAGCTGCGGCTGGGCCCATAGGGGAACTTCTAGGTTGTCTAGCACCTCCCTGACTTCGTCCTCTTCGCCTGGGATGCCGTGTGCCAGCTGGGCGACAACCGAGTAGAAAGCCTGCTTTAAGTCATAGCAGCTGATCATGGAACACTTCCCTTGGGCCTGGCTTCTCTCGGTGAAGAGGCGCGCTGCTAGTACTGCCATGTCAGCCCCTCGCTTTGGCTGGCCGCCAACCTGGATGTCCTCCAGCGCTATGGCGAGGGTGGTGTTGAGCATGGCCCTCAGGTATTTATGGTGGTGCTTGCCCAGGACGTTGTTTAAGAGGATCTCGCGATAGGCTAGGAGGTATCGGGGGTCGCCCTTGCCTTTGGGGATGGCGACCAGATCCCCGCCCTTGAAGCTCAGCGGCTACCGCACCGTGGTCGCCACCTTGGTGAAGAGGGGGTGCAGTAGCGTGGCTGCCTCTGCAGGAGCCGCCCTGAGAGCGGCGTTCGTGAGCCCGTCAGGGCCTTCTTGCGTCCCAGCCTTGGCCGCGGCGAACTGGGCCTGGCAGACGTACAGGGGCATCACCATGGAGAGATCCAGCGTTCCGTCGAAGGGCCTGGTCTTGCTGTCCTGGTTGTACTTATGGGCAAGGTCGTCCGCTGACACGATCTTGCCTGCCTGTATCTTGGCGAAATGGTTGAGCTCCTGGTCCGCCATGTCCTGGGAGTTGTGGACCACCTCCCCATCCTTGTCGAGCCTCATCGGCTTTCCTGTTGGAAACCGCGCCTTCCTCCCG